GTCTATTAGCAAGGCAATGGCAGTGCTTTGAGTCAGCCTCAAATAAAACAGTGCCAAACAAAATGAAGAAACAGGGTTGAACCCAAGTGGTTTAGGAAGAATTGCAAGGGAGAGGCAAGGACACTTGTGTAACAGCACTGTTCTGCTTCTCTGAGAAGCTCCTGAGATGCTGGGTTTGTCCTTCACCTTGCTGAGTTACCTGGGAGCTCATTGAAAGCAAGACACTGCTTTACTTCAGTTTGCCACCTTCCAGACCTGTCCCACTTGCTGGCCTTCCTTTTGACACCCCACTTCAATTGTCCTTTATATTCCTCATTGCTTCTCCCAAAAGGACAAACGAAAGGTTTGCAGAAATAAATTCCTGTGGGAGGGATGTTTCAAAGTGTTTTTTTGAGGCTGATCTCACTTCAGATCTGCTCTGTCCTTGGGACTGCTCCAGGCAGTGGCTGCTGGTAGTGGTCTCACCCAGGCAGCCTTGCCATCGTGCCTGACCACCATCTCTTCTAAGGAAGGATAGAAGAATTTGAGGAAACACCTTGGTAATAATGGCCCTTAGGAAAACTGAAGTCTGTCTATGCAGTAACAACCTCGGTGTATCGACATCTGCCAGTACAGTTACATCCTTACAGTTCTCTCTCCTTTATGTCCTGTGTCATCCCACTATTTTCACATTAATCTTTTCAACAGCTTGAACCTTCTCCTGTTGTTATATTCCAATGTGAACCCCGTGCCAAGATTTTATATGTTTATGTTTGAAAAGACTGTACTTACTGCCTTGTAGTTCTCTCTGCCACCCAGTCTGTCCTCTGCTCCCTCCAGACTTTGGCAATTAGCTATAACTGGTTGTTTCATTTTATCACAAGGTCTGGCAAGCCCTCCTTAGAGAATGATGTTCCTGCACCAGAAATACCTCCTTAACAGACACTTAGTTCACCTTACAGGGTTTCCATTCTGGCTTGCCATTGCCACACTAATCTGCAATGTGCTATCCCAGTAGAACTGCAGACTGGACTGTTTCTGGCTCGGGAAGGAAGTGCTCACGCCCCCCTGGTACGGGCAGCTGCCCTTCTCCTTCCTCCACTGCAAAGGCACTTGCCTACAATCACAAATGGTCGTGGCAAATAATTGTCACCAAAAATAACCCTTTGTATTAGGGTTAGTCTGAAAAAGAAAACAAAAGCTGCTCTTCTTCCTGAAGAGTGTGGGGCTGACAGTTGGCTTGCAAGTTGCAGTCCTTTATGTGTACGTCACTGTAAATGGCCAGTTCAGTTTAGCCAGTTACTCCAACTGTGTTCATTTCTGTCAGGTACGACTGCCTCTCTTGCCCATTTGTTTCCTTATGGGTGTTGTGGCAAAGGAAGAGATTGTCAAGCAGAATCTAAAATGTAGGGATTTGCTGGATGAAGCAAGAAACTACCACCTTCACCTGAGCAGCAGGGCAGTGCCAGACTTTGAATACTCCATTCGCACAACACCAAGGAAGCAGACTGCTGGTAATTAAATGTGTGTCTGATTATCCAGTATGGAGTGGTGTGGAGAAAAGGCAGCGTATCTGCATAGGACTAGACAGCTTGGTGGAAGTTAATGCTTAACTGGGAAAGCCATTATGTCCCTCTGGTGATTAGGTTATGGGCTGCACTTTCTGTACAGAATTTTGGCAGTTTCTTTGTTTAGAGCAGCATTTAATCTGATTGGCTAGAGCTGTTAAAAGCATTATGTGCAGGCAGTAAGCAGAAAGCTGTACAGAAACCAGTGGACATACACCTCTTGGTGCCAGAAGGTTGAGCTAGCTGTTAAATTGTGCTTAGCCAACACCAAAAGCAAGTGATGCATGTTAGACTGCAAATTCTAATTTTTATGTTCACTTAAGATGTAGCAGTCAGTTTCTCTCCCTAAGCAAATCATAAAAAAGCCTGTTTAAAATACACTTTGCTTTTACAAGAGAGTAGACAGTTAATTGCCCTAAAAGCATGCCAAACAAATGCCAAAGTCCATCATCCCATATACAGGGCAATTACTGCGTCCCTTGAAGTGAAATATGGCTTCTCTTGAAGTATGTAGTTTACCATCTATTCTGCTGTAGAATTTTATCTCTATTTTCTCTGCCAGCTCTCTGGAAACCTCCTTTGTCTCCTCCAGGTGTGCTGTTCTGTGTCGGTGGCAGAGGAGGATCAGGTGACCCATTTCGCAGCATTGAGTGTTACTCTATAAATAAGAACAGCTGGTTCTTCGGCCCTGAAATGAACAGCAGGAGAAGACACGTGGGTGTAATCTCTGTGGGAGGTCAGTAACCCTACTTGGGCAGCCTTGTTCAAAAGAGTTGCTTGGCTTATCAGTTGAATATTCTTCGTCGTCATAAAGCTTATTCCCCATGAAGAGGAAATAATTCTAAAACAATATCTGAGAGCATGCTTACTGGAAACCCATTACTGCCAACTGCACACAGCCTGATGCCTTAAGCGATGTAACCTTTTTCAGATCATTCCTAAAGAAATGGAGTTGCACAGCAAGGCAGCTTGCTAGTTACCCTGAGAGAGAACTTGCTAGTACTCATATGAGCTTCCTTTGCATTTAAATCCATACAGACCAGCCAGTAAGACTGTGAGGACAGACCACCCTTTATTTTTGGGTCCACAACTTCTGCCAGGCCATGGCAGCTTAGTATCCATGATGCAACTCCCCTCTGTCCACGGTAGCCCCTGCGTTGCTGCAGAAGAGTGGAAATCTTTCCAAAAATAAAAACTGTGGAGGGCCTGAGGTAAACATCTGAAATTGACCCGGCCTGCACTACTTGAGTTATGGGAAGATTCTCTATTTGCATATCTCAAGATTTGTGAAAAATCTGTGATAAAACAGATCTCTGATTGCTTAGAGCATGTAGAAGTACAAAGTCCTTCCGTAATAAAATCCTGGTAGTGAAAACCTTTAAAAACATGACCCCTGCATTTGGGCTTGTTGCCCCACATGTTAAATGAAAACTGAAATGTTACCAAGCAACCTCCGTATCCAAATATGCGTATGCCCTTTCAGGTAGAGTTTATGCAGTGGGTGGACATGATGGGAATGAACATTTAGGAAGCATGGAAGTGTTTGATCCTCTCACAAACAAATGGATGATTAAAGCATCAATGAACACAAAGAGGTATGTGTGTCATGATCCAGCATGGTATAAAGTTTAAGTCCTACTCCGTGATACATCATTCTTGCTACTGCTGAAAACCTGTTTGTTCTGCCTTTATACAAGTTTCCAGACTTTGCTATTTGTAGGATTTTTTTTCTATGTTGTGACTTAAATACAATGCTTATCTTCTGCAGAGCAAACAAAAATCTGCATCATACACTTGCATATATCACATATTTGTGATGATTCTATGATTCTATGATTTGCACAAACACAAAGTTGTGTGTAATATACTAAGTATTTCAGTGCAGAACTGCATAATCCCCCTCTTGAGGGAGAAGCCCTGGCTGCTAACGTGGGTTATGCTTTTTTGCTTTCTAATGCCACTCTCAGCCATTTTTTTGGGTTTTTTGTTGGATGGCTGGCTTCAGAAATGAAGAGAAGCTTTTCCATTGCAACTGTGCTTACGTTCTGATAACAGATAAAGATTCAGAAACTGGTTAAGTGGTTTTGTGGTATTTTATCTCTTTTAAACAATGATAGTTCCACCAGCATGTGTGTAGTAAAATGCTTCACAGCCAGGGAACGTCTTCCTTCTGGCAAGGTTCAGTTGTGGATTTCTATGACATTTCTTACTCAGGAAGCTGGGCAGAGCCTTGCCCACACCCTGCTTCTCCAGCAAAAGGAGGTGGTCACAGAACACCTTCTGGAGTGAAAACTGCACGTTACCTTACACTCTGTGCAGTTACACGAGGATTTTCTCAATAATTTCTCTAATGAGAATACATTTCATTTCACTGTACTGACTGCACTTTGAGTACGGATAGATCTCACAAAAAAATCTCCACTTATTTCAAGGTACACTTAATAAAAATCAGAATTCAGTGATCTAGTTCAAGCACAGGTTTGTCTTTTGGAGCGTATTTATCACCCCTGGAAAATTAATTCCCAAGCCATAGGAGCAGCTATACCAACAAAGCTAAAACCAGCAGATACATCAAATAAGATCAGAGATGGAAGATTCAGTACCAAGGAATAGCAATCCAATAACTGAGAAAACCTCAAATATCCAAATGCTTGAAAAGAAGGCTTGGACCTTTGCTGACATGCAGTTGAAACAATATTTTCCATGCCCTCCTGCTTTTTTCCCTCCTTTCTTTTTCAAACCAGAGCTTCTCTTTTTGCAGTCTAAACATATTCTAGCTGCCGTAGTGCTGTTTGTGGATGACCAGGACATACAGCTGAAACTGAGGTAAAGATAAAACACTAATGGGATGCTGTGAACACTAGAAAGACTTTTTGGACAATGATGCAACACTGCCATGGGTGTGCAGAGAGTCGGTCACACTTATGGATCAGTGTTACAAACCCATTACTTCATTACTTTTTTCCCATTACTTTGAAAGTCTTACCGGTCAATTAACGTTGCACCTGATGTCTTTCCCATCCCCTTTAAGGATATGCACTGAGGCACTGATTCTGTGGTTCTCTTAGGAGAGGAATTGCTCTTGCTTCCCTCGGGGGCCCCATTTACGCAATAGGAGGTCTGGATGACAACACGTGCTTCAGTGATGTGGAAAGGTACGACGTCGAGTCCGATCGGTGGAGTGCGATAGCCCCCATGAACACGCCCCGGGGGGGGGTTGGCTCCGTAGCCCTCATGGTGAGTTTGTTTCCTCTCAGGTCAGGGCCAGGATCCAGGGCTGCTTTTCAAATATTATGTAAGTTTTCTAAACAAACTTTCCTCCTATGCAACTTTTTCAGAACCACGTCTACGCTGTGGGTGGCAACGATGGCATAGCGTCTCTTTCCAGCGTGGAGAAATACGATCCTCATTTGGACAAGTGGATGGAAGTGAAAGAGATGGGCCAGCGAAGAGCCGGCAACGGCGTCAGTGAGCTCCATGGTTGCCTGTATGTTGTCGGTGAGTAGGCCAGGGCCCTGTGTTGGACAGAGCTGTCCTGGACGATGTGCTCCTGTGCAAGGGAAGAAAGCATAATGAGGACATGCTTGAATGCAAGAGTGGTAGCCAGGAAATAAGAAGCTTAGCTTGCGCACGCCAATGGGAACGCGTTACTGAAGTCATTCAAGGATTTGTTTCCTGCTTTGGTTTTCAGCAGTGGCTTGTTTTGAAAGCACTGCAAGAAAGCATGTCGACAGTGGAGAGAGCTGTTGGATTAATTTTCAGGTGGCTTTCAGATTTGGTTAAAAACGTAGACCCAGGGTACTAACCCACTGCATGCTAAGAAAAGCCCTGTAATGCACATCTGAGCAATCACCACCACTGGGAATGGCCAGATAGCAATATATGGTGACTCTTTGCAGGTGGCTTCGATGACAACTCTCCACTGAGCTCCGTGGAACGCTTTGACCCACGCAGTGACAAATGGGAGTACGTCGCAGAGCTCACAACCCCAAGGGGGGGAGTTGGCATCGCAACACTGATGGGCAGAATTTTTGCAGTTGGAGGTCACAACGGCAACGCGTATCTGAATACTGTGGAAGCATTTGATCCCATAGTTAACAGGTAATTCTCTTTTTTGTTTGGCCTAAAAAAGCAATCATATCCGCCTACATGGAACTCAGCATAACAGCAGCAGTGTACAGTAACTGAGTAATACTCACATAAGGGATGTGGGAGTGCTGCTCATGTCACTGGGTTCTTCTTGAAATAATTAAGCACATCCTCCTCCCTCTTCCTCCTCCCGGCCGTCCCTCATCCTGTTGTCTTTATTCAGTGAGAATCTGTGTTCCTGTGGAGGTTCCAATCTGATTTTCTACTAACCTTAGTGGAGAAGTAATGAGAATAAATGAACAAAGTGTATTTTTATACACTTAATAGCTAGGTTCTATAATAGAATTTCAGAAATAAATACTTCAGCTTGCTCTGAAAGGACACAGACTTACTTGTCTTCTCCTTTGCACTGTTCTCCAGGTGGGAACTCGTTGGCTCTGTGTCGCACTGCAGAGCTGGGGCAGGCGTTGCTGTGTGCGCCTGCCTCAGCAGCCAGATCCGTGATGTGGGCCAAGGATCCAGCAATGTAGTTGACTGCATGTGAACTCAGCTGCCTCCTCCAAATTCCATGGGAACAATCATACAGAAGCACTGCAGAGCTTTTAAATATGGTGGTTTGTGTGGTAGGTTAAGAAACACAGTATGGTTTCCTTGTGAAAATGTTACCTTCTGTGACTTTTAAGCTTTTGGTGGCTTTCTGACAACAGCAGTATAGAAGAACCTGTGAAAACGTGGGACAGTGGTGTGACTTACAGGAGGTTTTACTTACCTGCTGAGAGCTGTAATTAAAGAGCCATTTGAGGCAGCTGTTGCAGGGACTCAATGAACTGCAAACCAGGCGTGGACAGGTGAGGAGTGAGCAGTGGGCAGCATCACTGAGCCTCACCTGACAGCCCTGCTGTGTGTTTCCTGAAGGACTGGAGTGCCATTTATTAACATAACTAACTTATTATCAGGAATGCAATCTTAAAACATTTCCTAATCATAAAAGAGCTTTGAAACAGAACTTTTCAGGTTCTCCCTGGGCTAACTGGATACAGATGTTAACTGCCCACCTGCTGTGGGACTGCTGGCTGTGGAGGAGATGGCAGCACTCATCCTGGACCTGCCTCTCGAGGGCTCCTTCAGCCCCACGCACTTGTTAGAAAGCTGAAAAGACTCTCAAAGCCTGAGCATAGTGACTGGAATACTGACATTCTTTTATCCTTAATAAAATCTGTAGTAATGACTCTCTAAAAGGTTCCATTTGTGGAGAAATCACTACCACAGTAACAGCTGAAGGCTTCAATGGTCTCTGAATCCCTTTTGTCACAGGAAAGGGACACACACAAAAGAACTTGCAGTGTTCTGTCGAGAGCTTTAAGTGCAAGTCTAGCTGCTAAGCCCAGCTTCAGGATCCAGTAACAAACGTGGGGTAACAGTTGAGGTCCTAGGTCCTTAGGATTATTCAGCCAAAAAAAATCTCAAAACAGGTAGTGCAGTTGAAGCTTTCAATCAGCAGCAGGAAGAATGGAAAAAAAAAGCAATACTTAGATCAAGGACTAAAAAAGGAACTCAACACTGCTCTGTGCAAAGGCGACACAGTCACAGACCTTGACTGCAAGGTCTCATCTGGCTGGAAAGACCTCAGCATCCTTTTCTTGCCCAAGCACGCACAGAGCAGGGACTGATAGTTGTCTGTGACCACAACCCCAAGTTTCTGCCTTGTTCAGGTGATAGGAGAGCAGCAAATGTCTGTGCCTTCAGTGACAGGAACTGGGTGGGTTTTAAGGTTCCTTCCAACCCAAGCCATGCTGTGGTTTTGTGATTCTATGAAATGAAGCCTTGTATTTTCATTTAGGTTGAATTGACTTGTAAAACAAATCTTTGTGTCACTGCAGCACCATGTGCTGCAAACCCAAGTACTTTATTCCAGAGGCTCCACTATGTTTTGCTGGCTGCTTCTGCCACATCTGTATTTGTTTTCTAAACCTTTGCATGGTTTCTGGCAGAAAGTACAGCATTCCTAGCCAGGAGATTAAACTAACATTTGTAATTCTTTCCTGGCTCTGCCATCAAGCTCGATGCTGCTGTCACCTCACAGCATTTTTGGATGCAGTGCCTTGGCTTGCAATTTGAAAGCTGTTTTGGCACCAAAATCAAGTCCACAGGCTGCTGCAAAACTGCAGCCATCTGATTGCAGTCAGATGCAGACAAACAGCATCCACGTAGACAGGCACATGCTGGTCTGAACCTCAAATCTCTGATAGCTACCCCCACCCAATGGGTGCTCCTTCTGACACGTCTGCGCTGTGCAGGCTTCAGAGAGGCAAGCCAGCGTGCCCTCCATCAGAGCCCGTCAGAGGGGAAAAAGAGGCAATTACAAAGGAAAAAAGAGATGAGATGCAGGCAGGAATCTGTGCTGCTTAAATGCTCACAGCTGAGGCTACACAGCTGTGCAGCAGCCCTCAGTCCCAACCCAGTTCTGTGATCTCAAGCCCATAGGGCCAGCCTGCTGCTGTCAGCTGTCTGTTAGCAGGTTAACTAACATTAATTAATTAACCTTTGTTAAAATTCTTGCTGAACAAAGGTCAAAGCTGAGGGCGTATGGCCCAGTAAAACATGCCCACCTCTCACCAAGAGGGATGTGATCTGGAAGCGTGCGTCGATGTTTGCAGAAGCAATGCTTAGGGATGCAGGCCATCAGGACGTTGGATCTTGGAGTCGACTTGGGTCCAGCAAGATGGGGTTTTCCATGCTGCTATTCCTCCCAAAGGCCACAGCGAGGCAGAGGCAGCAGCCACAGCCACACATGGGTGCCCCTAGGGAAGTGCTCAGGGGAGCAGAGCTGAGGCTGTGGTCACTCAGCTCTGGATTGCTGAAACAAGAAATTCCACCCCCCGGCAGCTTGTTTGCCATTTTGCCATTAGAGATTGCACCACCATCTCGTTCACTGGAAGAATTTAAAAACAAGCAAGTCAAAATTCGTTTGTTTTAATTATATATAAACTCTTGTCTTTATATATCCAGAAACACGCACACACAGCAGTTCATCCCCCAGCACAGAAGACAGACAAAAAGATCTGTGACACAATTTTTCTGGAGGGAACTTTACCTTGTTTTCCTTTCCCCAAGCTGTGTCACGGATCCCCTCTGCCCTTCTCTAGGCCCGGCTCCTGGCAGTGCTCAGCAACATTCAGACCTTACCTTAAGGACATTCTCCACTGAGAATTGTGGTGTTTCACATGCACTTTAAAATGTTGAGCAAGATAGGGTTAAAAAAAAAAATTGAATCACAGCGGTGACATTTGAAATCCTCTCTCCATCCTCAGCAGCTCTGTTCTGAGCAGCAGGAGTGCCAAACAGTGCTGGGCCACACCGGCTCCTAGGAATGCCTCTCAAATGTGGGAGTGGAACAGAACAAAGCCATCAAGCCCGGCTGAACAGAAGCATGGTTGAACAGAAGCATTCTGATGCAAAGCGCTGGACCCAAAGAAAAGCCTGACCTCAGGAACGCTGGGGGAGAGGAAGGAAGCCCCACAAGACGTCCAGAGGCTTTGTGCCTCAACACAGAACGCCCCAGAGCAACAGCGGCAGCACGTTGCAGATGTGCATACAAACCCTTGGGTCGGGAACAGTAATTTTTGGAAACACATTCAGAAATGCTGACAGTGGCCCAGAAACGCTGTTGATTTTGATTATTAACAGAGCAATTAATATGAAGCAAGCATGAGCTGCCAGAGAGAGATCCAAGTGAAATCACAATCAACTTTCATGCAGCTGCTTTGCCAAAAGCTGTTGCCTCTGAAAAGGGTAAGCAAAGCCCAAGAGAGAAAGACAGCTAATCCAGAATAGATAACAAATCCCCAAATAAAATACACATGGCTGCAAAGTCAGGTTTGGTAAACAATGGTTCAGTAAACAACCAAACCACCCAGCTCCATCCTGCTCCAAGCACCAATTGCTTCCAGCAAACCATGTTTGCAAACGTGACATCAAGCTCCTCTCACCTCATCCACAGCTGAAAAACGGACTGGGTGCTTCACATCTGAGGTTCTGTCTAACTGGCTGTTTCTTTTACATATTCCAATTTGAATTTTGCCCTTAGGATTTTAAGTGTGCAGTGAAAAAGTGCATTGACCTAAAAAAAATCTGTTTCCACGCACACTATCTGTAACAGCAACAAACCCAGCAAGCATTTAAAACAGGATCCAGTATTCCGAACACTTCAGCTGCTACATTAAAAACCACATCCATCAGCAGCAAACATGATAGGTGCAAAGCGTATTGCAGAAAAGACCTGAATTAAACACGTATCCCAGCAGCGCGGAGACATGAAATCGCTCTTCCTGGGAGCACAGACATTCACCACCAGCAAACAAAGCAGAGGGCAGACAGCAATTCCTCTCCCAGAAGCTGAGAACACGAGGACTCTGGCAACGACTCGCAACAAATGGGCTACTTCATGTATTGTTTATTACCCACATGAGCGAATTGACCATGTCGGACACTCCGTCGCACACAGGGCAGAGGTTATGTACAAGAGGGACACGTGTCCCCAAAATAAGTTTAAGGTGTACAGGTTTGTAATGAGAACCAAGATGGAAGGGAGAAAACCAAACACAAGGACATTGCAATCAGACTTTGACCTTCAGGTACAGAAGAGATCTCTGTCTCCATGGAAGTGGAGCTTTCCAACTCTTAAATAAATGGTATCTTAAAAATAGAACATTTAACAATTCAAACACATTATTATTTCTTCTAAATAAATATTGCATGGAAATGATGCTGCGTTGCCACCACAGCCTCCTCTCCTTCGGGGACTCAACCACCACCTCTAATTTTCCTTAGATGCATAGTTTTATTTCCTAATGGCAAATCCTTTTTTTTTTTTTTTTTTTTACTTCCCATTTTATAAAGGGCCTGATCAGACTCAGGTGAAAACTATGGGCACCTTTCCCTAACCCTCGCGGGCCTCTCACCTGGCTCATGATGGAAATACAATGGCTTTCTGAAAATTAGCTCCAATTTAAGCAGTCTCTTCCACCAACAGAAAGAAAACGCTGCTTCCACCCACCCTCTGGATTTGAAACGAGAGCCCCTGTTCCACCTTCCAGCTGCTTCCAGCAACAACAGCACTCCCTGCCCTCTTCCTCAGCTAGAGCACCCGGACACAGCCTTGCTGCAAGGAGAAATCAGAAAGCAGCAGTGACCCTCTGCTCTGCAAGCCAGGAGCAAGCAGGCTCCCAGTCACTCCCTCTCACAGCCCCGGGCAGCCTATCCCCAAAATGCAGTAAGGCTTTTAATAAAGTGAACATAGGACAACTCAAAGGTGCGTCTCTGGCACAGCATCCAGCCCATGGCAGGGGGAAGCTGCTCCTGCAGGACTTATGTGTGGTAATGCAGATTCTTCCCTTGCTTCCAAGTATTTTTTGCAGATTCTTGTGAGTCTCCGAACTCCCAGCAGGTGTTTTGCAAGGGCTTCTGCTGCACTTGTGCAGATCTGCTCCTCCACCCTGAAATG